TTATTACTACTACTACTACTACTACTACTACTACTACTATCATTCTATTTCATTTTACTTCAATTATTAAACTGTTCTTATGTCAACCCAGGAGTTTTCTGACTTTCACCCTTCCAATTCTCTCCCCCCACCCCACTGGGGGGGAGTGAGTGAGCAGCTGTGTGGTGCATAGTTGCTGGCTGGGATTAAACCACAACAGATGGATAACAGATATGTCTGACTCTGCCAGGTCTTGCAGACAGGTTGTTAGGGCACTTTTTCAGCAACTTCACTGCTTTCCTTTTGACCAGTGTGTCTTATGAAGCCACAACCTCTCTTGAGATATTTCTTTACATTTAAAGAAAACATTGTTAGAATTATGAGTGATTAGAGAAAGATGTCGACAACTCCATCAGTAATAGACCTTACATTTCCAGGTATGGTACATTCTTTCTCTTTTATCACTCAAACTGCTGAGGGAATTATGGAGGACTGTGGTAACAATGGACAGGGCAATCAGACACTTGTAGAAATAACCACCTGTCTGGTGAAGACACTTGTAAGCTGAGGAGGTGAACACTGACGTTTTATCAGGGGAGTATTAATTTAAGAGTAGGCAAAGAATGTAACCCTTTTGAGCATTAGCGAGACCAATACTGAGGTACTGTTAAAAGAAGGTTGAAAAACTGGAAAGGCGTTCAAGGAGTATAAAAGGTCTAGGACCGGTGTCTTAAAACATGAAGCTTTAATAGCTCAATCTATTTTGTTTATTTGGTAAAGGTTAAGAGGTAGCCTCTTACCATCACAGTCTAGAAGTAGCTACAATTTTTTTTTTTTTTTCCCCACCTGGTATTTGGCAGCTCTTTAAGTCTTACACACGAAGAGTTTCCCAGCCTGGGAACTGAAAGAAAACAGCAAACTGTAGAAGTAAAGTACAGGCGGGTAACAAGAGGATAACTGTGGATGTAGTCCTCTGTTAATTGAAGACCTCATATTGGAACTGGATTTAAAATAAGGCAAGAAGATATGCCCATGTGTAAAAAGGTCTTATGGATTTGATGCAGAATTTGCATTAGATACCATGACATTGTGTCAAGGGAAGTCTGACTGCAGAGTCTCTGCAGCATTAATATTTATGACTCAAAGAGCATGTTCTCCACAGAACCGAGTTCTCAGGACCTCAT